ATGTGATTTAATTGAATAAATTATATATTCAACTATAAAATAAGGCCTATGTATGTATTTCAAACATAATTTTTTTTATTGTTAAAATGAGTGTTGATGTGGTATGAATATATGATTCTACATCATCAACAACAAATACATTTTCAATTTGTTCTTAACAAATTTGCTTTTAGCTAGCAAATTATTAGTGAAAAATAGTATCTAAGAAACATATGCTAAATATCAAAGGAAATTAACTTATTTAAGTGCAAAAGTCACGCTAGCACAGCCTAATCAAAGGTTCAGTTTGCCTTTTGAGCTTCCTTCTCTTCTTTAAAAGCACATATGGCTCTGATTAATGTGGGGATGGTAGGTTGGTTGGGAAAAAGTATAGGCAAACAATCATCCCCAATGCCAGTCAGTGTGTCACAACATTCTTTCCCCAGATCCGCGAAATTACCATCTGAAATTGCCTTACTCAATGCATTGATGCATCCTCCAGATTTCACTAAATCCCCCAAGCATTCAAAAATGTTGTTTGGCTTTACTGTAATTGGTGTTTCTTGTGGTGCTTCTGCAAGAGATAGTGGAAAAACTGACACTGAAACGTATACCACAAGCAGCAACATAACAAGCGGCTTTGAAAACACTAGATCCATTGGAAATTTTTAAGTTTTTAAAATATTTTTGTTGTGATTGTTTGAATGAAAATTTGATGTGATTTATAGAGTTTTCTGATGAAAATTATGTGTCACTTGAGATTTTTTTTCCAAATGCAAGAGAGTTCAAGTGGCTATATATGACTCTTCTTTTATTTACCTTTTTTGAGTTTTTGGCTAAGTTCTATCCTTATCCTTTTGCAATTACAACATTTTCAAAGCATCTTTTGTTATAAATTTTAATTAAAAATTGTAACCGATTGTTCAATTCCGTAGGTTACAAATCCATTATTTTCAAAATCAATTCTAGTTGGTTATGAATCCATTACTTAAAAAATTTTAATCTCAACAGTTACACATCTATCTTATTCTAACCGGAAAGAATTACAAATCAATTTGTTTCTATTTCTTCAAATGGTTTTTAAATCTATACATTATTTTTCATTATTGCATTAGTTTCAAATGTTAGTCGGTTACCCAATCACATTATTGTTGCATCAGTTACAAATCTCGTTTGACACCGAAAAATTTCAATTTAAATTACATCAATTTGTCTACTTTGGTTGCAGAGTAAGCCTATAAAAGGCAGTCTCTATTTCTACCAAATTTTTAATTTCACAATCTTGCAACTTGCACTCTCATTCTAAAAAATACAGTACTTGTGCTTCAAACTCTTTTGGGCAAAGAACGGGCAGTGGGTAGAGCTTTCTTTACAAGAGTGCAGTACTTATAAAGATACAACGAGTAAAAATTGAACTGTTGCATTCTGGAGGTAATATGACCATAAAAATCAAAATTTAAATCCTAAAACTATAATCATATTAAACAAAACCTTAATTTTTACTCCGCAAGACATTTCCTCCTTTTACAGATAGTTACAAGGCAATGTAAGAACATGCACATGTAAGTAACAAGTGTTAGAAATTTTCTATTTGTGTGGCTTCCATTAGAGACTTTTATTTAATAATACAAGTTAACTTGTGCTAGTTAAAAATATTAAAACATTTGTAAGAAACCCACTTATTGCGATAATATATATGGGTTTAAATATTTCATGAGTATAATATGGAGACGGTCAGTGTAAGTCCAAATCCAATAAGCCTTTAATGGAAGGTATTATTTTTAGGGTTATGATATAAATTAAATGCTAGATCGCTCCACACTAATTATATATTCGGTATCTACCCATTGAGCTGCGGTGCAAAAAGAAGAAGATCTTACCAAATCCCTAGCGAGTAATCTTCTATCAACTATTCCTATGATCCAGCCACATAAACCACCTTCCATAAACGCCTGTTGTCACAGGTACCCCGCCAACAATTCTTTTTTCCTTTTCCTCCCTCTCCTCTTCTCTCCATCTTTTCTTTTTCACCATCCTCTCTGTCCTCCAGCACTCAACCATAGATGCATATCGTGAATGCCTGTTGTCGCTGTGATCACCTCCCTCACCAAGTTCCTCTTTTTTCTCACGCAGCTCAAGCACTGCTAGTTTATTTCCCTTCATTAGGAATTTTCCTTTTTGTGGCCTTGATTTACTCCCAGTCATTCAAATTTATTAGCTCGAATTAGAGGTAATTTTGGCTTTTTTTTCTCCAATTTCAAGAAAAAATTGCTTATTATATCTTGATTTTGGTAGAAATAACTTTGGATGAAGCGAAGAGAACTGCCTGGAGACATTTTTAAGTAGAATCTAAATAAGACTTCAAAGACAACTACTTAAAACAAGCAAATGTAATCAAGTAAATAGATGTAAAAAAGGTTGGATATATTGTGTCGCTCAAACTTAAATAAATAGATGAGACTCTAATAAAAAAAAAATAAATAGATGAGACTTTAAATCCCATTCTAATATATTTTTTGTCTTTTTGATAGATGAGTGGTGGAAATATTTTGGATATAGTACTCCAACTCTTAAGAATTTGGCTATTAAACTCTTGAACCAAACTTAATCATCTTTAGGTTGTGAAAGAAATTTGAGTGTTTTTGAAAAGATACACGCCAAGAAAAAAAATAAATTGGAGCATAAAAAATTAAATGATCTTGTCTATATACATTATAATTTGTGTTTGAAAAATATGTATTTTATTTTATGTTTATTTAAATTATATGTTTTCTTTTTCTACTTAAGTTTTATTAATTGAATTTTTTTACTAATCTCTAAAAATCTTGAATTATAGGATTGATGGCAAGAAGAAGACTTGTTTTGATTCTATTGATTATGAGAGCATAAACAATGTTGATTGTTGGATATTGGAAGAAGATGATTCTCCAATTTTTGATTATAATAAATTGGAGAATATAATTTATAATGAAGGAGCAATTCCAATTTGTAATATCAATAAAAAAGAAGATTAGTCATTACTAGTTAATTTAATTTTTAATATATTATATCATTATATCATTTAATGAATAGACCATTAAGACTTATTTTTTATATTTGTTTTTGTTGTATGATTCTACAATTTCAATTTCCAAGTATTAAGGGAGAGCAAATTGGTGAGGAAGTTTGTGGTTCTAGTGAAGGAATCGAATTAGAATAATTGGTGATGGAATTGAAGATAATGATGGTGAGCATGACTTGCGGGAACTAAATATTTATTTTGATGAATATGCTCGTCATTTAAGCCAAAACAAATGAATTAGTAATGTTGCTTTATTTATTTGACATTCATTTTTGTTATGGATTTGATTTGAGGTTTTTTATTATATTCAA